TCTCTCTCTCTCTCTCTCTCTCTCTCTCTCTCTCTCTCTCTCTCTCTCTCTCTCTCTCTCTCTCTCTCTCTCTCTCTCTCTCTCTCTCGTCTTTCCTCGTCTGTATATCTCGTTCCACGTTCTCCCACGCCTCTTACATCGAACTGCCACCTCGTACACCTCCTTTTCGTGCCAACTCTAAAGCGATACGAATGGCCACCGGCACCACATACACGAAAACGAAAAACTTTTCGTTGCACGTACCGACATGCCCGTCCACTTTTCTGTCCGGGCCTTTATCGATCGTGTCTCTTTGTGCGTGGACGACGCGCTTTCTCGCGCCGTCCCGACTTCCTTCGTCCTTTTGTATTTTGTCCACTGTCTGCTCCTCCATTGTCTGTCCTCGAGCCGTTATTTATGCAATGTATGTTGTCACGTACGCTTATCATGACTACGCTAAACGTACATTAAAAGCTGAAAAAGCTCTGACTTAATGAAATAAGTCTCAGCACTCCAAGTTAAGTAAAACTAAAAATACAAGATTGTAAAATAATGTGAATTGTTTAATCTCTATATATTATAAAGAAACGAAATATATGCAAAATTGACTCGTGAAAAATCTTATAATCAGATGAGATCTTATAATAAGATGATAAAACATAATTATGTTCTTACATTTATCTACTATCTCCGCACATCTTACTTATCTCCGTGCAGCAAAATGGATAACAATGGTCTTAAAATGTCTCGGGGTTATTTTGTCGCAAATCTTCTCTAATAAAATGTACGATGCAATTTCGTTACGCCAAGAACTCGGCTACATGTACTTTGAAATGCAGTATTTTAACGCTACGTGTATAACGTTGTATCATATTCCGCGGAGTAGCGCATGGCGGAGCAATATCTTATCTCGAGTCCTCTGCCCCTCTAGGGCAGCCCCGACCTCATAATGGATATCTATCTTTCATCTATAATTATAATCGTGCGTTGGCGTGATACATTTCACGTTATCGCGGATTCCGGCACGATAACACGTGTATCGCGATAAGCATCAGTTACTGAACTACCGCGTCTGAAACTAGATTCAAGGCTAGATGCTCGTGAAACACCGCGAGTGTCTTCGCTCGAACACTCTCTGCTTCGTGACACCGAAAAGATTTTATCGCGATGAGAGCTTCCAAAGTGATTACCAACGAGAACTGAGAATCCTCCAATTATATAATCGCAATTGATAGTTACGGCTGATACGTTTGCCGTCCTCACGATGTTAACTCTCTAATCGTATTACGATCTTGTCTTGAGCAAAGAATCTTTATAACACCTATAATACAAAGTATATGCATGAAATATGTTATATGCAATCTAAAAATTAAAGATTGTAATAAGATATCTATATGTCTCAATAAAATAATAAATTTTAATGATATTATATATACTACATATATATATATATATATATATATATATACTACATATATATATATTTTTCATAATATTATAATAAAATGTATATTTTTTTTATCATATTCTATTTATATCAAAATTGACAATTTATGTTGAATAATGTAAGAGCAAAAGTAATAAAGAAAATTTGTAAAGTGACAAGTTTACATATCAAATAAAAGAAAAAAGCATATTTGGAAGCTATTGGAACGTATGGGTAGAAACATTGTAGACTCAACATGGCGAGCGAATCATGGTCCTGAAAAATTAATCGGTCCCGGGATGTCGTACCCCTTTTGCGAATGGAAGCGGCGCCTTGCTCTAATACAGATTTATTGCCACCTAAGAGCCGGAGCCAGGCGTTCTAATACAGGTATTATGCTGACGCAGGCACGAGGAATTTACACGAAATTGGAGGTAATTTGTAGGGGTCGAGCGCACCCCCTTTTACCGCCGCCGTCGTCGTCGACCCCCTTTCGGTCGCTGCTACCCTATCCCAAGTTACATCGTGCCGGACTTGTGTGCGGCCGTGTATCCCGAAACTCTCCGGTAAACGACTTGCTCGAAGGACGTAACTCTCCAGCGAGGGCTATTCACTTCGAAATATGCAACGGCGTAGGCCGCTTTTTGATTTACGGAGTAGATCGTTAATTAAAACGTCACGGCTGATCGGCCGGGCGTACGGCGATTTAATTAAAATTTTTTAATTGCCGAACGCAGCCTACGATAGACGAACGGTCTCACCGCGATGGTCTTCCAAAAAGTGTCTTCCTCTTTTTTTTCCCCATCATCGTCGTTGTTTTTGATGGCACTCTAACAAGGGTATCGAAACACGAAACCGGTTATTATCGGAGATCGTGTCACGGTTTTCGGTGGGCGCAAAGAGCCTACCGTAAATTGTCGCGTATCGTTGACGAGATCGATCCGCTCGACACACAGCTCGCTTCTGCGGTCTACGTGTTCTGGATAGGAAACTCGTTATTAATGATGGGAGTGCGAAGAGACTATATGCACTAATCGTGAATGATAATCCTCCAATTTCATCGAAGCGATCAATCTCAATTTTTTCGGCTTCGTTATTTGATTCCAGATAGATTATTATAAAACGATTAGAATATTCACAATTAGCTTATTTGTTTTATGTTCACTCTTCTAACATTTCTTAAAAAAACATAAATATAAAAGTTTTATGATAATTCATAATTATCGATAAATAGATAAACAAGAAGCGCTAGCATAAGCGAAAGGAATAATGAGGCGTTTTCCGTAAAATTAATTTGCCAATTATCGCATGGACGAATGAAAAGATTTCCATTTCTTCATATCCATCCATAATCATCATTCGTTTCCTGATAACAAAGTTTTACAACCGTGCTTTTGAGGCCGCATGCTATTTAAAATTTTAATACACCTAAGGCGCGGAACGCAAATGCCGTACTAGCTGGTGATTTTAATCTCGGTGTTGTAATAAGAAATAAAGTGAACCATGCAGGCTCACTAATACTATTGCGCGAGAGACATTCTTTCACGTGTCACGCGATTTACATTGCGAGGTTAAAGGAATTTCGATAATACAGTGTGATGCGAATGGCAATTACCTAATTTAATTTTACACAACATAACATGAGACGCATTATATGTATATGTATATATACATAGCATAGTAGCACACATACAGATATATATGTGGGCTACTATGTTATATTTCATCTTAAAATCTGTTTCGAGGTAAACTACAGTTTTTTAATTAATTAAAATGTGTAAGGGAGGAAGAATATTTTACTTTCTAATTATTTGTATTTTAATGTTTCCTACATTTTTAAATAAACCATCTCAAATGTACATTCCAAATTTGATGGAAATACATCCAGCCGGTTCTGGTAACATGATTAAATAAAGAGGTACAATAAAATAAAGTAGCCTAGAAAAATGGAGATATGAAAATATAAATTTCAAAAACACAAGTTGCAATCATTGTGAAAGAGAAGAGCATTCGAATTTTCAATTGAAAAGATGTGACAGGAAGAGAACAAATGGGAAGCCGCTATAATGATAAACAGTATCCGAACTAGATGATTACAAAAGCCAGATATTCGTTTGACTGAGATGCCAAAATGGTCGACCCAGTTGTCGGTAGTTTCGTGATACGATTGTTCCTTTACCTGGCATGTTTCGGTCCGAGGCTGGGATCGTACATAGAACTCGCCGAGATGTCTTCATCGGGGATTTCTCCACTCTCCATGCCCAGAGCCGTGGTGCATTGTCCTGGAAACAATTCACGATGGCATTAGGCAAAATTCAATATCAATCTTCATTCCGTTAACGTCGCGCATTAAAATGAAAACTTCGAGTGGAAGATGGTGACATAATAATAGATTATTATTCCGGAGAGAATTCAGCTCTAGCGAATCGCATTATCGAATAGTTAATTTTACGTCTGCATTTTCATTACTAAGATTCTCGACGGTTTTATCCTGGAGCCTAAGAATTTCGTTTTCAACAATCTCGTCTGCCGCTAACAGCACTATCGCAGAGATGTGCAAATTTTCCGACGAAATCCCTGGAAACGCCGGTCGCCACAAACATGCGACTTCGTATTCCGTTGGGTACACACGAGAAGCAATTTACAATCGTAGCGAGTGTGCGCTCGCGTCGCCTCTCTTTTCCGGTTTCTTTTTCTTTATAAGTTAACAGCTATTTTCATGATCACAGAGAAAAATGATATATTCGAGTTATCAAATAATATAATAATGTAAAAATATCTGTTAGTTAACATAATGCAATAACACAAATGCAAATACAATTATTCTTCCTTCGTTTTGTCTCGTCGTTACGAGAGACAAAAGTTGACAAGAGAGGATAAAAATAGAATCTCATTCTATCTTAATGACATTTTAATATGTAGATACGAGGATTCTCTTTTTACTCTCGTCTCGACATCTTTGAATTGGAGTCAGAGAGATACTCATGTAAAATGATGCATAACGCTGCCGAGCATTTGCGCAAGACGGCAATGAAACGGCGCTCATCCGATATCTTTTTTCGCCGTTATATAAAATGTCTGCGCAACGTCACCGGGAAGAATTGATAGCTGGAATATCAACTGGCAATGGCACTACCGATGACAATGTCGGGTATATATATGTACGCGTACATGATAAATTTTCAAATCCGCGGGAGTCAGCCCGGCTAGTATATACCTTGTCGCGCGTGTCGCTACGCTTAAACTACGACAGTGCAGTTACGGTGGAAAGTTTCAAAACTGCAGAATGCAGCGGACGTGGGATTAGCCCGGCCTCCGGAGCTACTACCGGCCGGCTATGGTCTCCATGAGCCGGTATTACGGCGAACAAAACTTCGTTTGTGTTTGTAACTGTCCCCTACGTTTCACCTACCGTTCATTATACGGTGTAGCCTGGTCCAGCGTGTTGCGGTAACGCGACTAAAATCTACATTCGATACGTCCGAAGATGTCAAACGCTAGATTATCGCGTTCCCCTTCTTTATTAGTTACTCTATAGTTATATCGCAATCGATAAAAGTACCCACATTCTTTTTATATTCATTAAACTTTTATTACCTCTATTAAGTTGGAATCCCCACCATCGCAAATCGAGTTCGCATCTATAAAAAAATTTAGTGCTATTTATGTGCTAATTTGTTGCTCTAGTCCGAATTTTGTTGCTCTAGCCGTTTAGCAGGAAATCGCGTTCAAAGTTGGGGGGGGGGGGCCAACTCGCCATTAAGCTGAACTCCTCACATAATAAAAAAGAAATATATAGACAGTCGTATAAAAAAAAAACAAATACACTAGAATTTTTAAGTTATTGCTCTAACATAGCGTAAAAATATTTCAAAAATTCAATATTTTTGAGAAATAATATTATATACAGAGTACTGCAAAAAGTAAAAATACTAAATATCCAAAATATTTTTACGTAAAGTTAGAGCAACAAATTAGCAACAAATTCTGATGTATTTTTGTTTTTTGTTGGTACAGCATGCCTATATAATTTCTTTTTGTTCATATTTAATTATTTTTTTATACAAAATTCTAATTAAATCAAGAAAATATATAAATATATAAATTTTATTTAATATATTATTTAATATTGTTTAATATCATAGAGATATCATTCTATTGCTATATATCCGAAGAATATTATGGAAATGGAAAATAATATTTGGAACATTTGATACAATGGGAACATAAAATATAACATTCTCAGAATATTATAAGCAACAAAATTCGGACTAGAGCAACAAATTAGCACATAAATAGCACTAAATTTTTTTTATAGATACGAATTCGATTTGCAATGATTCCAGTTTAATAGAGATATTTTTGATTAAATTGTCAAAAGAAGAAAAGATAAACGAAAATTCATCTGCAAACAAAATTGACAAATTAAAAATTTTGTTCATTCCCACTGGCGTAATCTGATAAAGATTCAATCAACTGAACAATAGTTGAACAATTCAATATTTGTACTCAATGTATCATATAATATTCATACATACAAAAAAGTAACATAAAGAGTATAAACTCACTCTGTTGTCAATCATGAATGAGAATAAATGCGAAAATTTATTTTTGCAAACGCGCGATGAAATAGCTGCTGGAGATTAAGAAGATAAATATTACAAAACTACATTTCGCAGATTGTGCCAAATGCTCTTTCCGCTGAGGATAGTTAATACATTGTACAAAATAGTTGGCAATGATATATGATTCATTTAACGAGGTCCATTTAGCAGAAGTTCTTTCCATCGTGTTTTATTAAAAATTTTACAAATGGAAGTTATGATTTTTACAGTGCGTTATCAACCTGGATTCTTTGCATTTTTTTCTTCATGAAAGTTTTTGCTTTTTCTTTATTTATCAGACTTTATTAAATTTTCTTACACTATCTTTTACTCAATTTAATAATAAGACGCCATTATTATTTAATAATCATAAAATTGATTCTTCATTTATATGTACTTCATTAATTTGTGTCTTGAATTTTGTGCACTTAAATATAACACGTTTACTTAAAATAGAGACAATATAATGACTGAGATGTGAAATTCCACAATTAGCTACTTTAATAAATTTTACAAATAAATTTCAGAAAGTTATGTTCTATTTCTGCAACATATATACGTATGTATACAATTATTTAATAGACATTAAATCTTCTCTTTATGCAGACCGCGTAGCTTCGACTTATTTGCATCTATATATATATATTATATATAATATTCGCCTTTATATTGCATCCGTTAATGCGACACAGTATGACTGAGATGAACTACGCTGTAATTATCGAGCTAACCTGGATTTAGCACGCTAGTGCATCCAATGTTTTGCGTTCGAAAATTATCCAACAAACGAAATATTCGTTGCAGTTAATCAATCATTGCATTGTTTTTTTTTCCAACAAAACAGATACGCCATACGAGTGTGAAAATATTGCTAAATATTTGTAAATAAATAATAAATGATTATTATGTTTTAGTTTCTTTCAGAATAATTTCCCCGTCTGTCTGCAATATCTAAAGTATTAATGATATTCAAAGTGCAATTATCTTTTGTAGCAATTCATAGACGTATTTTAACGTTTGTGCATCTGTACTTTGCTACAAGAGTACATGGCGTATCGTATACATTGAATATCCAATGTATACGATGATAACGGCTATGAACCCGAGCTTTAGTGTCATGTCCCAAAGCAATAAGTCAAGCTGACATATTGGGATATCCTAGATGCGATGTGTTTTCACGCAACATGCTGGATAATGAACGATTTCAATGATTCGTGACATAATTGACAGTCCGATTCACCAAAAGTTCAAATATATTCATTGTTATGATAATTATTAATTAATAATTAATATTTGTATAATGTTATTAATTATTCCAATTAAATATTAATTATTAATTAACATATGGAAATTAAATTAGTCAAAGAAATACACGATGCCGAGAATGGAAGAATTGTAAAATCTTTAAATATATCTAACAACAATTTAATATTCTATAAATATAAAAAGGTTATTTGTTACGAAGTCATATAAAAAATTTTCACCTAAGTCCACAACAACTGTTTCCAACAATTTTTCTTTCGATATTCTTTAAATCTTATAATTTATACAACATTTATACATGTTAGATATTATAACTATATTATTTTAAAAACAACTTAAATAATATAAAAAATTTAATTACGAGTAAATGCTAGTTAATGCACTTTCTTTATAAATATTTTCTTTCAGCATAGCGTTGTCTTGCAAACAATTAATTTGCATAAAAATATAACGAATGAGCGATAAACAACGAGAATCAGAAGCGCGACACGCCAGAACGAATCGGCACAATGAACAAGCTGCTCACTCGTCTGCATCTGAGCAGCTATTAGATAGTATTGTTAATTCATCGTGCGGCTGACATTTCATTTACGAGGGTACAATGCAGGTGTATATAAAAGGGTATGGCATGGTAGAAGGATATGGTATATGGTATTATTGCGTACGCGTTCCAGTGCCGCGGAAAGAGAAAAAAATTATTACGCACGGCAGCCTCGGCGATTGTCATGCCTCTTCCGCGCAACAAAAAAAAATAGAATTTCATCCACAAATTTTCTTATCAATATGTATTTAATTTTTCCTTAAAATTTAACAATATACTACGAATCGCATAAACAATTAATCACATTATCGTATATTTTCCTAATAACAATTCCCGATAATAATTAATTAGTTATAGTATGTATATGCGAGCTGTGATGGGATTTTGACATTTCTTTTTAATGTCACTTTCAGATTGAGAAAATAAAGCGAGAAAAAACTTTGACAGATTATGCTGTATAATATGATCAAGAATAACAAATATTCAGTCAATATAAAGTCAGAGAGTGAAATAAAACGAGAGAGTGAGAAATAATTGAGCAATCTTCCGATAATTAAAACTGATGATGCTGTAATTAATTTATAAATATATTACCGGCAGCAGTTAGTTTATTATGGAGTTTGATCTACTTAATATTTTCATCATGTAGTTTATTCCAGGAATGACGTAATTTTAATTAAACTAAAATTATTGCAACTATAAAATTTGTATATGAAATTACCATATATCGTATATAACATTAAAAGTACTCTGTCGCGCTCTGAAAATTTTATATTAAAGAAGAATTTTTAACGTTACATATTTGAGGACTAGTTGCTCACAAATTAAATTTTACGTGAAAAATTGTTTCCAAAGAATCACAGATATGTGGAGACACATACTCATACTTGTTTCGAGGCTATCAGCATTTTAGTCTCGAGAAACTTGCGGTTCTCTCCACGGGATGCCTCGTATAAGATTTTCAATCGCAACCTCCTGACTTCGCGCGACGACGATGCGCTCTGGGACAATGGAGAAGATTGTAAAGAGAGGAAGTTGGAAGGGGTCAAAAGAGTGTCAGCACTTTTCGGAAGTCATAAAACTTGGATATGTGACGCGTACAGGAGTTCGAATTCGACTTACCTAGATCCGTGCAGCGACAACGCGGCAGGGACAATAGGACGAAGATGGCGATCAGAAGTCCTCGAAGTGGAGTTGGATCAGCGCTGGGACCAAGAACTGGCATGTTACTGGTGACCTGGGCCGTCGGCACGCCGATAACTTGCTCCTCCTCATCACTAACTATCCCCTGTCCTGACCGCATCGGTCATCAAGCACGTTCCTAGCATCGTGATGGTCGCAAGGTGGTTATAACCTCGTGTCGATGTCCTAAGCACAGAGTAATCCATGTTAGTCGTCCGCAGACACCTCGAAAATGTTGTGGAATATGAACCGATGGTTAATGCGAGCGACGATACGGGGTTACGATAAAAAATAATCATCAACGGTCATCTCGAGTACAATTTTCCTTACGTACGTTATTCATTTAATGTAAGCGTAACATCCGATTGTCTCTCCCATTTCATTGATAAATTTATCTTATAGTTTGAGCAACGATTCTCCCTGAAAATGGTGTCGGTTGTTATCGCGAAAATGTATTGTAGGTAGAACGCTACAATGAAATTAACTGCCATAGTAAATTTACCGGCACAGAATAAAAATAACTCTTACTATTAAAAAAGTGTACTTTTATATGTATCTCTAAAAACATTTCTCAATGTAATAATCAAACATCCGCTTCTCTAATTAAAACAGATATCTTATTAAACAATATATACATAGTATCACGAATAAAATCAAAAATAAAATAGATGTTTCTTTTATGTCAGATTTAATTCAAATATCGCTGATCAAGATTTAACTAATAATGGAGCAAAATGAAATATGCAAATAAAATATTTATATTCCTGTCAACAAATCTGAATCGTTTTTTCGATGTAAGCTGATTACCGCTGGCACAATGTAACGGCCATATTTATGTAAATATCATTGCTAAAACTTGCATTTGTCGTGTAAAGCGAGACTCTTATCGTGCCGGCACGGCGGCGTAGACATTTGTTATCATTTTTGCAAATAGCGCTCTCCACCCGCCCCCTCGTCCGTCTTCATTTTACGTCGCGCGCAATCTGCATGATAAGAGGTCTATTTTGCACGACAAATCGGCTCCCTAAATATCGCGTCCGCGAAATAAAATCACTCACCATCGTCCGAGTGGCGCTTAGTTAAAAAGCGACCGTTATATTCAAGATTAATCACACTCGCCGTGCTGCAATTTCAACAGCTAATTCGTGTCACTCTTGTACACGGATTATGCAGTCATATGGGTCGCCGACGAATAGTGGAAACATTACTACGCCATGGGCTATGAAATTTTAATTGCGTCAGTGCTATTAGTGAATGCGATCGTTTTCGGGGAAGAGGTCGAGAGCGTCTACGGTACTGCTGCTGCTGTTGCTGCTGTTGCAATTGTATCCCGCTTGTATGTACCGCACGAGGATGGTACACATCCTATGGTATAAGTATACATAGTTCCATATGCTGCAATTGCAACTGTAACACCACACGGATTTCGCGTCACGCCTCATACATTATTCACACCTCGCCGGAGGTGAAATTATTTTTCCCCCTAGCGTTAGTATTATTAATTTTAGGCGTTAGTCCAACGTGAAACTCCAAATAACCGCTGTCGTCCGGTGCGTTTGAGTGCATTCACGCAGCGCGTGATATAACGATTGCATTTCTCGATGGAAGCATCACCATCGTTCCTTCAAAGTCGCGCAACATAATGTATTCGACTGTCAAACTTTTCGACAACTCTATACATACATTTCTGCATTTTCAGTTTCAATCTGCATTTTCAGTTGATATTTTCACTGATCTTTATCTCAACATTTTCATACTGCATTATTCAATGCACTATTTGACCTTTTGATATAAAAAAATATTTTATCACCCGTCAAGTGATAATTCCACAACATTGTTTTATTATTTATTTTTTTATTATTCTGTTATTGTTGGAAGATTCACTTTCATTTTATACATTGTGAAGATTTAATGCAATATATAAAAATATCTTACAACTGTGTGCATAATCGCATTATATAATTGTGAAGTATTATTGTATCATTATAATAACAAATTATAATATAATTATATTACTATTAAATAGTTGTTTTAGCAAAATGTCTCTTATTATTGAATCATAAATAATATACTGACACATTTCGATCGTAAGGACTCTGTATGCTTTTTCCGCCACGTCTAAGATATAGGCGTAGAATACGAACGAGGCCCTAAAGCCGTCAGAAACAAGTGTTGCGCACAGTATTGAAGTTGTAAGATACGGCAATACGTATGCACCAAAACCTATAATGGAACTCCAGATAGGTTGCTTTGAATACTCGATGGAGCTCGAGAAAGCTATCGGGTATGCTGTACCTTTCAGTAAAATCAAGCAAAACTCAACGAGTACGCGTATTACACGAAATGGGTAAAGCTCTGACTGAAGTTACACAAGCAAGATAATGGAAACGTGCTTTACACCGGGGGATGGTCACCAATGTTGAAAAACGAGTAGTCTCTCGGCACGTGGGGTCGTTAATGCTCCTCGCGTACAATACCTTTTTTTCTAGATAAAGTACATCCAGAGTCACTGAGCTCTCGTCGAGCACCCATCGCCGAAGAGGCATGCCTCGCCTCGCTAATTATTTATAATTATCGATCACTAACGAGCGGTGTCCAGGAGAGATCGCATTACATTCGCCCCGAAGCCAACGGCTTCGCAACAACGTGTTTTGCTCTCTCGCTCGTGGTGCTATTACAGCACGGTTGCGTGATTTTATAAAATTTGTCTAAGGGGAGAAATAAAGAAAATTAGAAGGGTGGACGACCATATACGGCGCATTTACGGCCAATCACGCCGATGTGACGTAAGATGGAAAATTCCCTATATAATGTGTTACGCGAGTATTACGATGAGATTGAGATTCATTCACGATGGAAAATTATATATTAAAGTTGATATTAAAGTTTCATCTCGAATTATGTCTGGTAATGTACGCGACATGATCTATATATAGCGATACCGCGACAATAATTTACATTTCAAGTATCTCCTTAATACGATTTGACCGAGCTGTGGATATAAAACGAATATTTCTCTCTAGACACATCTTTTCTTCCAAGTTTCAACTTCTTTAAATCTGTATACTGAATTACGATGTAAAAATAAATATTCTCAAAAATTATCGTACGTATAAAAGTTTCTCGAGTATTATCAAAATTTTATTATTATTAAATTATATTATGGTAAAGTGGAGCATTAACGTAAACATATTAGTCACACATTGCTTTATTCAGACAGACTATGCTCTGTTAAAAAGTGCGCGAAATCGATTGATGAATAAATATCAAAGGTGACTAGTTGAAACAGTAACTTTGTTTCCGCTAATCGTGATAAACGTTTTCAGCAGTTAAAACCTTAAAAATTCCCGCTTCATAGGTCACTACCTTGGTTCCCTTTTCTTGTAACGGACGAGCCAGACGGTAGCTGAAGGAAGGAACAAGCGAGAGATTGAGCGAGGGTTGGGATCTGCGAAGTGAAGGAGGGAGCGCTCGGTCTTTTGTGTGCATTCGATAGCCCGTGCAAAACAAACAAGCCTACGAGACACAAAACAGGATCCACGATGCAGAAGCGAGTCCCGCTTGTCCAATGGACGTTCCTCCTTTTCTTCACGGAATACCGAGCACCGTCATTACCTCGTATATATACGGATAGCTCCACGCTTCTCCTTCGCTGAGTGAAAGAGGGAAGCGACGGTGGGGAAACACGGGAGCACAGGAGGACGGGGTAAACGGTAGGATTTTGCGATGCAAATTTCATTCCTCCCTCTTCCCTCCGGCACCGTGCTCGCCCGACCTTCCTAGTCAGCCCTTTCCACCTATCTCCATTCTTTTATTTCCCACTTCTAGTTTTCTTTATCTACGACCGCCTGCGCCCCTCTTTTTAAAATCATCTCGCGGGAGTCCTCTCTCTCTCTCTCTCTCGTGTCGTCGAGCACCCCGACAGAATTATCGCGATCGCCTCGCTCGGACGGACACGCTTTTTCGCGGTTCGTCGCGATTTTCACGAGGGAAAAGCTCGGCAAGCGGGGATGGCCTAGAGGACTTGTCGCGGATGCGGTAGTCGGAGCCGGGGAGGAGCTGACGGTGCTGAAAGAAACGGAGGTGGGGAAGCGTCGGCGGAATTAATTAATTCTGACAGACTGCTATCCAACCCGTCCTTTTAAAACGACAACGCGTCGTCACGTCCGTCTTTGATGAAGGAAGAGATCTCCACGTCCCTGGAATGGAAAAGAATCAAGCCGGTTACTCGATGCGTTGATTCAATTTGATCAATTTCAATTGAACAAACTCGACGACTCAATAAAAATAATTAAAAATGACAAGTAGGACGACGCCTTTTTAAAGCTGAAGTTAAAGCTTGGAGAGAAAATAGAGCGGTCCCGCGTAAAGATTGAAAGCAGAGTTTTCAACTTTTCACGGTTACTGAAGTAATTCATCAATCCCACTGTATGCGCTTCGTGAGAAGCTTAGTTGACCGATGTATCGATGTATCATATATCTCGCAAGACAGCGACGTTCCCATGTGACTTTTACTCAGGTAGTTTGAAACTAATTTGAAAGCGTCCAACTCACAACATCCTTTTATCTACTTTTTATATTAGTATTAACCGTTATTCTTATCAATTTTCAAACCTGCGGACTTTCATAAAAACTGTGAGTCTGAGATAATGAAGAAGTTAATTAACTTCTGTAAAGTTTTAAAAAATATAAAAAAGAATGTCCAAGACATAAAATTATTTTATTAATGTGGAACAGGCGTCCTCATATCCACTTGAGAAAAATCGCTTAGGTTTTTCCCATAAATGCCACGCATTATTCATTTTGAGTTTATCTATCATAACAAGTAGCAACACAAATTAATGTAATCCTCGTTAACGACCGCAGAAACGACGCCAGACATTAAACTCATTGCTCTTAGGGGTCACAGCTAATCCATACTGAATTAGCCGCGAGAGAAAAAGAGCGGATAAGGAACACCGCTCCTCTCAAGAGAGAGAGAAGAGCGTACGGGGAAGAAAAAGTGTAATTTTGTGAAATTTAAAAGTCCACTGAGTCGCTCGTTGTTAAGCAAGGGTTTAGCGATTCTTCCGAGGGGATAAAAAGTGTATATAAGTGCGACGGGAATAAGAGCGTACACCTAGCTGTGCTTACTTCGCTCCGCAGAATCTGGTTCGATTCGCAGAGCTCCCTCGATAATGCAAGCA